ATTTCAAAAAGAATTAAAGGAAATAAATGCAAACTTATGTCACAATACTTTGCGGAAATGTTATCTTATTATTAAAATAATGTAGTCGATAATGTTGTCTTTAAATATAAAAGTGCTGCCATGTTCTCTTGAATAAAGACATTAACGAGAATAAGTAAGGAAATCTTATGACAGAAATAGTTAATATGTTCTTTGGAATGACGGCATATATTGACGTGTTACACTATATGGTTGAAAAGCACTGCGTTGGTGACAAATTTGTTAGTGCATAATGAATAATCATTTATTATAACAAAATATTACGAAATGTTTGCTTATTACCTTTTACGCTTTTTTTTAATTTAAGGAAAAATAAATTTGATATTACAAAAGACTATTGATAAGCCTGGCTATAAAGCAGCACTACATTTTTTTTTTTAAAAACCCAGAGAAATGAGTCTCACAAAAGTATATATAAATATTTAGATGTATAGTGGCACACATAACAGTACTCTTGGTCCAATGTCTGTAAATGAACATTAATATTATCTTATTCATTTTATTTCCTACGAGTAATTAAAATTTTCATTTGAGCCGTTTCGCGACAAAACCAACCTGATGGATTTGCGACCAGCATGTATCAAGACAAGCCTGCGCATCCGCGCAGGCTGGTCTGGATCCATGCTGGTCGCAAACGCACTATGTTGGTTTTGTCGTGACGCGGCTCATTTATTTATATAGTGCAACAACTAATAACCTAGTTTTTTTTACACATTTTGCGAATATTTTACAATGAAACCAAACTTGTTACTCTTTTGAAATATAATGCAAATTGTTGTGTGCATATATCTTTTTATCATTTAAGGTGCTGTCTAAAATGCTTCAGACAGAGAGAATTACCAAAACAATCCCGGAATGTGTCAAATGACACGGAAATCATAATTTGATAGCCAAACAAAGTATCGGTCAATCTTTGACCAAATCGTTACATTTCCAGTAGATTCAAATGTTATGTAATGCAGATATCACTCTAAATTTAAACAAAAGCGTCGTTTTCGAGGTTTAAAATTAAAGATACTCTGTCAAGTATTATATACTTTCACAATTGACAAAAATGTTGTTGCTGTTTTTTAAGTCTGAATATGCCTCAAAAGTTTTGATACTGTTGAACTTCCTGGCATTTTGTACAAATTACACGCTAGACATATAATTTCAAAATGCATCTTTACTTTGTAGCTTTTAGTCGCTCGAGGTACATGTAAGCACTATAAATGACTAACAAGACATATCACTGGCATATCAAGAGGGATTGGCAATAATGAGGAACAGAAATCATATATCAATACAATTAGGCTTTTGCTTACTGAACATGTTAAAATAGTAACTGTAAAATGGTCTATGTCCTAAAATAGATAGTTGATTTTGGAGACAAATGGTCAAAAGTAGAACATTGTAAGGTCGGCGGTACATCATAGATTCTGCCAACGCAGACCTTAACATGTACATACATGTATATTTGTTAGTCAAACGTTCTTTCTTTAAGTAGGATTCCTTCGTCCGAATACTATTTATTTGCCTTCACTTATGTGTTTACTGTTAACATTATTTCTTAAAATAAGCATAGCCTACAATTACGAAATCCATCAGAAAAAAAAGCTAAATAATTTAGCCATTAAATCAACAAGCTAATGGGTTCTAATGTTACTGTGAGTATACTTTATGTTATTGTCTGATATTTCAACAGACGAAAAAGGAATTGATTTCTATTGTGACCGATTATGCTCGTCTGATTACATAAAAAATATTGCTAAACTTTTAGTGTCCAAGTTACTTAATCTAAAGATGTATCGAGGATAATTATGTCAAGATAGCATTAAATATCAGAACCCTGTTTACTGTACCAATTTACATTATGTTTTCATCTTGAATTCACAATAAGCATGCTTCATTTTATGTTTCATTTAAATAAGATAAATAAGTGCTGTGTGGCAGCTGTAAAAAGTTGCCCCGTACTTCACCCGTGTTGTTATATTCCCCTGGTCCTTCGGGATCATTGATGTCAGCACTATTAAGTGTTGAGAATTGAGTACCGCTCAGCCGGTGCAAGGGGGGCGTGACGGATGTTGCACGTTTTCATTATCCCTCATGTACAGACTCAATCAAAGCGAGTCTGCAATTCCCTTGTAATTTTGTTGTGATTAATGCTTCCGATGGACCACTTTGTTTCCAGAATTTTAATGATAACCAGATTGCATGATAAAGTGTGAATGTTTCAAATGAAACCAAAATTAAGGTCTCAAGTTGTAAGAATTATTATTTTCAGTGATTATTCAACGAAACATAGAAAAATCAGCTGAACGGATTGATTGAATCTATAAAAAGTGTTACTTATGAATTATATATGACTTCGTATTGACTTAGGTTTGCTGACGAAGATGAACTCACGTATTTTCATGTATACTATAGTATTTATTGACATGAATGGTACAAATCAGTTCACGAAATATTTGGCATAGGTATGTTTTTTGGTTTTTTTTTGCATTTTAGACATCTGTGTAATTGCAGATCAATATGTTCTATATGTAGTCAATCTTGATTACGCCTGAATCACATTCCTAGTTCAGAGTAGTTAGAAATGAATTTTTAATATTTTGATGACGTCAAATACATTTGAAACTGTTAGACGTATCTTGACTACGGTCGCTAATCTTTGTTTATACATAGATTGCGGATGTTTTATAACCAAAATCATTTCAATTTAGATGCAAGCTTGCTTTCTTTGTATAATCAAGAACTAAATTGGAATTACTTTTCAGCGTTCATGCATTTATAGGCACATTAACACTAAGAAATGAATTGAGTTTCTGTAGATCTGTAGAAAGCCAGGTTTGCATTAATACATTTTTAAACATAATCATAACATGTTTATCACATAGTCTTTAATGTGAAACAATGTCAAAAATGGAACAAAGTGTAAAGAAAATGGTGACACCCTTACAGAAAACTATATCTTTTCAACTAAACTAATAGTCAAAGAACCAAATCAAAGATAAGAATCAAATCAAAAGATGGTTCATTTGTACAGCCAATGACTAGCTTTTTGAGAATTGTTACTTGATACCAAACTATTGGCTTTTTATTAAAGATCAGACTAGTAGCATTTAAGGTCAAACATATTAGCTTTATGATTATAAGAATACATATATTAGCAAAAAATATTAATCTTTTAAAGCTTAGAATACTGGTATTAGCATTATTGTTTGGACAAACAAAATATTAGCCTTATAAAAATGAGAATATCGTATTAGAATTTTAGACCAAAACATTAGCCTTTTAAAAATTAAAATACCATAATTAGCATTTCAAGCTTAATGCGCCTTTCAGAAGATATATTAAAATTGCTAATAAGCATTTCCGCAGTTATAACGACGTTTTTGATGATAATATTTTCTAATTACGTTTGATTTATTCCGATTCAGAGGACGTCTTCTGACTGATGTTTAGTTTATTCTGCTTTGTGTTTACTTTCAATTTCATCATCAAAAGACGAAGTCATATTTCCATCAATTTAAGGCATTATGTTTTGTTATTTTTTTACACAAAGTGTGTATTGTGTTGCTTTTAGATAACAATCGGTGAATTGTCTGATGTTATATAAATTTTTAAATAATGTTTAATTCTGGGAATGTCACACGTCCATGCAGCTTATGTTCACATGCTAAAATGCAAGAGTACGCCATCTCACAGGTAGCTTGACTTGATAACAATGTCAAATTTGCTTCCTTTTGTTTTGGAATATTGTAATTGTATGTTTATACTTGTAACATAGGCCTTCGGCACAACATTATACAACAAACATGAAATTGCAAAGAAAATACAATGCGGTGATCATAAATATACATGGAATATTGTAATATAAACATTTACAGTCATATAAAAACATTAAGAGGAATATTGTACCGGTTCAAAAACAAAATAAGAAAATTTCCCAATTTAAACGCAGTATGAAGTCAATATTCCGTTTAAAGCCTTTAAAATTCTTCTTAGGATAATAAGTAATGTTTAGCTTTTTCATGTCCCCCCTTTTCACACAATATTGTATTTCAAATACCATATTCCGACCTTTTCTGTTATCCATGATATAATAATACTTCAGATTCAATATTCAAAGTTAATAGCGTGAAGCATATTAAAACATTTCGTACGTTTCTAGCAATGTTCCACGCACGGATTTATATTACATATAAATCCGTGTTCCAAGCAATTAAACCCATATATCAAATTAGATGTTTCAAGGAAAAAACATGTAACACCACTTATACCATGATTATATGCAATTTTTTTACTTTCATATTCAGTTTAAGATGTAACATTAACGATCTTACCCTAACAAACAATTCATCACGTGCATTTTGTTAAGAAAAACGTCCTGAACTATGAAGAAAAGAAAATGTAGAAGATGTCAATTAATTAAGCATTAGTTAGATCTATAATATTTTTTTCTGGAAAAAAAATGTCATAAAGCTGCAATTGTACTCATTTACATCATACTAATTATAGTGTAAACATTATTTATTGAACCCTTAACCTGCTGTTGAAACCGATAGTGATTTTATATTGTACACCATATGCCATTCTCACGTTTGTCAACAATTGCTTAGCTCTTGATTATGCACCAAACCATTGTAAAACAATAACATTTACGGTTTACTATGCCAAGATTTCACGGTATTCAATTCGTTGGAATGTCCAGACTAAATAGAAATATGATTAATTTGAACGGTTCAAGACAATACTGATGTAAAACTGTTTAAGGTTTAAATGATTAAATGTTGAATTCTGATTAAGGCGGTGCTAGGGTTGTGGACTGAAACTTGCATTTTCCAGTACCGTAAATGAACATGCTCAATCAAACCGAGCCTGCAACATTTTCAATTTTGCCGTCTTTTGAGCGTTCTTTAGGACTGGGATGTCAGTTTTCTCTATTTTACATACTTATATAGAATTTGTTATGCTTTCAGGTGCATTTCTGATTCCATATGCTGTGATGATAATAATCGAGGGTGTTCCCTTGTTTTATCTTGAGCTTGCTGTAGGGCAACGATTACGAAAAGGTGCTGTCGGGTCTTGGAATCAAGTAAGAATTGTCTCTTTTAATAACTTATCCAGTGTAACAACTGATCATTCCATTCAAACTTCAATATATTCTACTCATGTTGATTAGAGGTACATGTAATTGCAATGTGTATATCAATCCAAATATAGCAATATGTACTTATAACTTTATATAGTACTAAATGTCCGGTAAAATGTTACAAAATATGATTTTATTGCGGCACATATCTGAGAAAGTTTTATCTCATGAAAGTATGCGTCGCAGTAAGCTTCAAATTTGCATTATCAGCTCACAATACCGTTTTGTTCCTAAATTTATGCCTTATGCTATGTTTTTACGTATTGTATTACAAAATTTCCTGATCATTATTTCCGCATAGTCAGACATATTGTGTTCCTAAATTCTACAATTAATTGAGTTGGAAAGCATTAAATCAGAAACTACATCCAGAAAAAGACACGGTGAATCATCAAACTAATTAATAGTAAACTATTTTTTCAATATATTATCTTAGAAAATGCGTTCAATAAGATAATTGCAATAACATTATAGAATTCAGGGAAGCATTATGCTAGTACGGTACTTTCAATGCATACTTCTCTTGTCTGGTTTTGAAGAATAGTATCAAGTAAACCTTGAAAATTGAATGATAAATATCATCAAACCTTCTGTAACTTATATAGATAGAATAGAAAAATAACCCTATCAGCTTTGCATAACAAATGTAATGTAGAAACGAAACAAGATTAAACTCTCCTGTGGATCTTTCAATTTAAAAGAAGAACAATTTCAATTTGCTGTGCTTGTAATCAGATACATTGCTGACAACAGAAGAAGAAAGAATAAATAGGTTGATGTGAGATGAAACGAAATGTTCGCATATAAACAAATATTTACGACGGACATTCTCTCAGATTTAATTATTTCGGTATTTACGACATATTACAATGAAAGACAAGAACAGGAAAAGATAAAGATAAAGCATGTAGTAGCATGTATTTCGTTTCAAACACGATTTAGATATAGCGTTTATATATAATTGTATCATAAAAAACACTGTGCTTTTTAGTTTCTTGTTTAAAATATACTCAAATATGTGTATATCACCTCAAATCCTTTCGTAAGTAAAAAGTCCTAAAGCTAGGGAACGATGTATTTTACAAATGTCGATTGAATTATTAATTACATTTTTGTCCTATCGTATCTATTTCACTAGACATTTATTTCTGTTTGCTGTTGTTTCTTATAAAATAAATTGAAACAACACATTTAATCATTGCACACGAGATAGCTAATCAAAACTGCATTCCAAAATGAGAACGAAAAATGAAAGTATCAGGAAAAAAACAGTTTATAAAACATAAATCACTATATAGCTGAAGGAAACATAATCTTTCAAAAACACTATATCATTTGGAGATAGATAATCTTTCCTATCAATTTCCCAAGAGTGGTATTAAAGATATACGTTAAAGGTTACCCACAACATTATTGTTATAAAATGATACAAATCGTTGAAAAAACACATAAATTTCATGTTTAGATCATTCTATAAAAACAATATACCTTGTAATCGTCATTTGACTTCAGACTGACTAAATAGAATATTTTTCAGTGTATCACAATCTTTCCATACATTGGCTGTCCTGCTGGGCTTCTGGTCGGTGATCCTTTATGACTGGGTTTTGTTTGGATATTCGTTCATTGAATGCCAACCCTCCTGATTCATCTTTTAAATTGACAAATCGTGTTTTTTATTTTAAATAACTTAAAAAATAATGTTTGAATTCAAACAATATTTTTAACATTCCAAAGTGCGGAATTTAGAATATCCGGAACTAACCTCTGTCGAGTATAAAATTGGTAAAATATTGTCGTCATTTTTATTACAATTTTACTTGCATGCTATATATCTGATTCTTTTAATTACATTTGGTAACCTTTTGGCTTTAAAGTGTATTTTAAAAATAATTACAACAACGCAAGAGAAGAGAAAATCAATCTAGTGCAGTATCGATTGTAAGTATAATAGTAATAAATTGCATGCCGTAAAAAGCGGTTAATCGACTCTGCCAATTAAATCCTTCTTTAACATCCCTAGACATTCCCTGTGGTAATATTCAGTATTGTCAGTTCCAATTGCTTTTTCCTAATGAGTGAGACAAAGACATTTGTAGCTGAAGATTGGTTAGGTGCGAAAACCACGTTTCACTAGACTAATTGTATATGTATATCTAAGCAAGCTACTGATGCACCGATGGTTCTATTGTGCCTGTAAAAATGTAGAGAAGGCATATGAAGTGGATTGTAAAGCTGGATGTATGCAGTATGAGGGTGTGATTTTAACCCAAACCGAAAATGATTTACATGTTGAATCTATAAAGAGTACTATCGGATATATATGTATCTCGGTATGATATTGTATTGAATGAAATTAAATGTGTTCACCTTCTTTGCAGATTTAAAGTGTTAACAATCCATACCAATACAACATGGACGTACTGTTTTATATAAATAGACCAATATAAATAATAGGAAGGAAATGTTTATGACTAATTCCAAGCTGTTTGCTACCTATAAAAATAATAATGGTATTACCTGTAAAAAAAAATAATCGTATTAAATGAAATACAAGAGGGCAAAATTGTTCTCAACTATTGATTCTGTATTAGTTTTAAATATCAACAAGCTCATGCTGACTAGAAATTATTGGTATGAATAAACTTATACACTTTAAATATATAAACTAAAAACAGGCGAAATCCATTGCAAACCATATAAATTTAACAATACCGGAATATCGTCTTTGTTGCAAAATATCAAATACACTCCTCCATGCTGTAGCAATATCTTTCCAATGTATGTATAAGAATTATAATCAAACAAACAATTTTCTCATCTTGAAAATAATAAGATAGTTTTTGTTTCACATAAAAATCTCCATTAAAACCCGTTTCTTTGTATAGTATTAATATGATAATCTTCTTGAAAGACTGTTTTTGTGTTTCTTTGTTTTTATTATGTAATGGATACTTTGCTTTGTGATATTGCATTTTGTTCTTATCTGCTAGCCTTTTTTAAGAATTTAAATTCTTCTTCTTAAATTTCCATGCGAAAATGATTATGTAATTCTCTGAACAAGCTTATAAAAAAGATGAAACAAATCATTTAATTATTTATTCCATTTGCCTGATAGCAATTACTTTAACGTGTTTACATGAATATAAATAATACATCTAGTAATGCAAAATAACCAGAAAAAATCCAAATAATAAGCATTTATGATGTATAAACGCTGAAACATAACTTTATTAGAATTTATAATTTCACATAATATAACCATTAAGTGTAAGTAACTGTGACAAGCACTGTTTCACTGATATATGATCCTACTCTCCTCCGTTCTCTTGCCTCTTCCCCCTGCATCATTATCCTTTTTTTGGCCTTTTAATTAATTGTCTTCTTAATTTTCCTTGTTGGATTCTATCATTTCATATTTTAATTAATTTATAATAAAACCACGTCCGTTCCCTTGTGTCATCTACAGTTTTATATGGTGCCCTGCTGGACTCCTTGCCGGTGGTCCTGTGATACTGGTTTTTGTTTGGAGATGCGTTTATCAAATGCCGCTCGTGATTGTACAGAACACCGTTAAATTAACTTGTTATACACACTTGACATTTGTCCGAGTTCTTGGCAACAATTCGCTTCTTGCATAACGCGGACTTAAGTACAGTTTATCATAAATTAATATCATAGCATATCATCACGCAGAAAATATGTCTTTAGATTTGTTTTCATTCTTGACAATGTTCTTACTACTTTCTTGAAAAATTATGAAAGTGCAGAAATTCAATACTTTTTATTTGTTTGGGTCGTCAGACCAAACAAATAATGGTAGCGAAATTTCAGAGTCTAATGTTGTTAATTGCAAATGCCGAAAGTAGTCCACTTTTTTGAAGCGGTGACTTCCCTTTACATGTACACTAACGCCGAAAAATTCAGGGGAGATCACTGCGTAAAGATGGTCAAAGACAGGCACATTAATTTTCAAGCAAAATAATTCCCGAATGGTCGAAGATTTCTAATATTGTTTTATTGTATTTTCTGATCGAAAATAAGTAAATACAAAGCGGACATTCAATCTCTGACACAGAAGTTTACGACAAACCTAACAACAAGTAGTTCTCAGAACAGCTTAAAACTAGCGATTTAAAAGAAAGAAATATTTTTATTTTGTTACAAGTATCCAACAAATTACAAGGCATTCAAAGTTTGAAAATAGCGTTGGCTTATAGAATTGTCAATAAATGCACAATCACAAATTACGCGGATGAATATGATTTTATCAATGAAAATACTATTTTTAGCGATGTCGATTACCAAATACTACCCAAACCGAGTAGTGGAATATATAGATTCTACATGTCGGACTGTTTGGGCGAGAAGATTTTCGCTAAATTATTTACTTCAATTTTAAACAACAGGTTTATCCTGAACAAAATACCTCGAAATTAATAAGGATTACAAACCCGAAATGCAATGGAAGTTCTAAATTTAGAATGACTTGATGTTATTCAGACATTGTATGTATAACTTCTCCGTGGTGCAGGGGTAGCGCGCTCGCTTAGTGAGTGAGAGGTCTGGAGTTCAAATCCCAGTCGAGAAAACTTTTGTTTTTAATTCTTTTTTAAGTGTCTTTGTTAAGGAAGTAGCCATGATATGCAAGGATAAAGTGTAGCTGTCGTAAAAAATGAACATAAATGATATTTTGATGCAACCATAGTTATGCAGAATTCCGTATGTATCAAACTTTGGTGCCTTGCAAAATGAATTATAATGCATAAAAATAAATTTATACAGGAAAATACATATAGATATACAGTACGATTTAGATTGCAAAGATCACAAAATACCACAGAACTTACAGCCCTTTGATTCTTTATAAATATACATGCTTATAGTAAGCTCCAGGATTATTTACATCTGTGTTAAACAACGGTTAAAGTCGTTACAAGCCC